AGTGCAATTGCTAGGTCATAAGGTAGCTCTATTTTTTACTTTTGAGTAACCTCCAAACTGTTCTCCAGAATGGCTGCACCCACTTGCATTCCCACCCACAGTGTAAGAAGGTTCCCCTCTCTCCGCATGCTCATCAACACCTGTTGTTTCCTGTGTTGTTAATTTTAGCCATTCTGACAGGTGTCAGGTGGTACCTCATTGTGGTTTTGATTTGTATTTCCCTGATGCTGAGTGATGTCGAGTATCATTTCATGTATCTGTTGGCCATGTGTAGGTCTTCTTTGGAAAAGTGTCCATTTATGTCTTCTACCCATTTCTTAACTGGATTACATATTTTTGGGGTGTTGAGTTTGGTGAGTTCTTTATAGATTTAGAGTACTAACCCTTTATTAAATGTGTTGTTTGAAAATATCTTCTCCATTCCAGGGGCTGACTTTTAGTTTTGTTGATTGTTTCCTTTGCTGCACAGAAGGTTTTTATCTTGATAAAGTCCTAATAGTTCATTTTTGCTTTTGTTTCCTTTGCCTTGGCTATGAATGGCACAGTATCTCGTTTTTGATTTATACAAACTTAATATGTAGTAAGGCAAGTGCTCCCAAATTTAATTTTTTCAAAATCGTATTGCCTATTTATGGCTGCCTGAATGCACTACCTTCTGAATTTAGATTGAGCTTGTCAAGTTCCATTCAAAAAACAAAACAAAACAAAACAACACTTGGGGATTTTGATTGGAATTGCAACTGAACTTATAAATTAACTTGTGAAGAAGTGACATCTTAACTGAGCCTTCCTTTTACAAAATATAGTACCTCTCAGTAATTGTTTAGGTATTCTTTTATGTAAAAAAATGAATATGGTTTTATAGCTGTTTCCACTATTGTCTTACTCATCCTTTGGTTAGAGTCAATGCTTTTTTTTATTTTTTTATTTTTTGCTGCTAGGAAACACCATTTTTAAAATATAGTTTCTAATGATGTGTTTTTCCTCCATAAGAACACAGTTGATTTTTGCATTTTGATTGTTTCTATGGATTTTGCTGGCTTCTCTTATTTTATTTTTTAATAATAAACTTATTTTTTATTGGTGTTCAATTTGCCAAAATACAGAATAACACCCAGTGCTATTCCCGTCAAGTGCCCCCCTCAGTGCCCGTCACCCATTCACCCCCACCCCCCGCCCTCCTCCCCCTTCCACCACCCCTAGTTCATTTCCCAGAGTTAGGAGTCTTCCATGTTCTGTCTCCCTTTCTGATATTTCCTACCCATTTCTTCTCCCTTCCCCACTATTTCCTTTCACTATTGTTTATATTCCCTAAATGAATGAGACCATATAATGTGTGTCCTTCTCCGATTGACTTACTTCACTCAGCATAATACCCTCCAGTTCCATCCACGTCGAAGCAAATGGTGGGTATTTGTCATTTCTAATGGCTGAGGAATATTCCATTGGATACATACACCACATCTTCTTTATCCATTCATCTTTCGATGGGCACCGAGGCTCCTTCCACAGTTTGGCTATTGTGGACATGGCTGCTAGAAACATCGGGGTGCAGGTGCCCCGGCGTTTCATTGCATCTGAATCTTTGGGGTAAATCCCTAACAGTGCAATTGCTGGGTCGTAGGGCAGGTCTATTTTTAATTCTTTGAGGAACCTCCACACAGTTTTCCAGAGTGGCTGCACCAGTTCACATTCCCACCAACAGTGTAAGAGGGTTCCCAGTTTCTCCGATCCTCTCCAACATTTGTGGTTTCCTGCCTTGTTAATTTTCCCCTTTCTCACTGGTGTGAGGTAGTATCTCATTGTGGTTTCGATTTGTATTTCCCTGATGGCAAGTGATGCAGAGCATTTTCTCATGTGCATGTTGGCCGTGTCTATGTCTTCCTCTGAGAGATTTCTGTTCATGTCTTTTGCCCATTTCATAGTTGGATTGTTTGTTTCTTTGGTGTTGAGTTTAATAAGTTCTTTATAGATCTTGGAAACTAGCCCTTTATCTGATACGTCTTTTCCAAATATCTTCTCCCATTCTGTAGGTTGACTTTTAGTTTTGTTGACTGTATCCTTTGCTGTGCAAAAGCTTCTTATCTTGATGAAGTCCCAATAGTTCATTTTTGTTTTTGTTTCTTTTGCTTTCGTGGATGTATCTTGCAAGAAGGTACTGTGGCCAAGTTCAAAAACGGTGTTGCCTGTGTTCTCCTCTAGGATTTTGATGGAATCTTGTCTCATGTTTAGATCTTTCATCCATTTTGAGTTTATCTTTGTGTATGGTGTAAGAGAGTGGTCTAGTTTCATTCTTCTGCATGTGGATGTCCAATTTTCCCAGCACCATTTATTGAAGAGACTGTCTTTCTTCCAGTAGATCCTTTATCGAATATTAGTTGACCATAAAGTTCAGGGTCCACTTCTGGGTTCTCTATTCTGTTTCATTGATCTATGTGTCTGTTTTTGTGCCAGTACCACACTGTCTTGATGACCACAGCTTTGTAGTACAACCTGAAATCTGGCATTGTGATGCCCCCAGATATGGTTTTCTTTTTTAAAATTCCCCTGGCTGTTCGGGGTCTTTTCTGATTCCACACAAATCTTAAAATAATTTGTTCTAAGTCTCTGAAGAAAGTCCATGGTATTTTGATAGGGATTGCATTAAACATGTAAATTGTCCTGGGTAACATTGACATTTTCACAATATTAATTCTGCCAATCCATGAGCATGGAATATTTTTCCATCTCTTTGTGTCTTCCTCAATTTCTTTCAGAAGTGTTCTATAGTTTTTAGGGTATAGATCCTTTACCTCTTTGGTTAGGTTTATTCCTAGGTATCTTATGCTTTTGAGTGCAATTGTAAATGGGATTGACTCCTTAATTTCTCTTTCTTCAGTCTCATTGTTAGTGTATAGGAATGCCACTGATTTCTGGGCATTGATTTTGTATCCTGCCATACTGCCAAATTGCTGTAGGAGTTCTAGCAATCTTGGGGTGGAGGCTTTTGGGTTTTCTATGTAGAGTATCATGTCATTGGCAAAGAGGGAGAGTTTGACTTCTTCTTTGCCAATTTGAATGCCTTTAATGTCTTTTTGTTGTCTGATTGCTGAGGCTAGGACTTCCAGTACTATGTTGAATAGCAGTGGTGAGAGTGGACATCCCTGTCTTGTTCCTGATCTTAGGGGAAAGGCTCCCAGTGCTTCCCCATTGAGAATTATATTTGCTTTGGGCTTTTTGTAGATGGCTTTTAAGATGTCGAGCTGATATGTTGATCACATTGATTATTTTACAAGTGTTGAACCAGACTTGTGTCCCGGGAATACATCTACTTGGTCATGGTGAATAATTTTCTTAATGTACTGTTGGATCCTATTGGCTAGTATCTTGTTGAAAATTTTTGCATTCATGTTCATCAGGGATATTGGTCTATAATTCTCCTTTTTGATGGGGTATTTGGTTTGGGAATTAAGGTGATGCTGGCCTCATAGAACGAGTTTGGAAGTACTCCATCTCTTTCTATCTTTCCAAACAGCTTTAGTAGAATACATATGGTTTCTTCTTTAAACGTTTGATAGAATTCCCCTGGGAAGCCATCTGGCCCTGGACTCTTGTGTCTTGGGAGGTTTTTGATGACTTCTTCAATTTCCTCCCTGGTTATTGGCCTGTTCAAGTTTTCTATTTCTTCCTGTTCCAGTTTTGGTAGTTTGTGGCTTTCGAGGAAGGCATCCATTTCTTCTAGATTGCCTAATTTATTGGCGTAGAGCTGTTCATAATATGTTTTTAAAATCATTTGTATTTCCTTGGTGTTGGTAGTGATCTCTCCTTTCTCATTCATGATTTTGTTAATTTGAGTCTTCTCTCTCTTCTTTTTAATAAGGCTGGCTAATGGTTTATCTATCTTATTAATTCTTTCAAAGAACCAACTCCTGGTTTTGTTAATCTGTTCCACAGTTCTTCAGGTCTTGATTTTGTTGAGTTCTGCTCGAATCTTAATTAACTCTCTTCTGCTGGGTGTAGGATCTATTTGCTGTTTTTTCTCTAGCTCCTTTTTATGTAAGGTTAGCTTTTGTATTTGAGTTCTTTCCAGTTTTTGAATTGATGCTTGTATTCCATGTATTTCCCCCTTAGGACTGCTTTGGCTGCATCCCAAAGATTTTGAACGGTTGTATCTTCATTCTCATTAGTTTCCATGAATCTTTTTAATTCTTCCTTAATTTCCTGGTTAACCCTTTCATCTTTTAGCAGGATGGTCCTTAACCTCCACGTGTTTGATGTCCTTCCAAACTTCTTGTTGTGATTAATTCTAATTTCAAGGCGTTATGGTCTGAGAATACGCAGGGGACGATCCCAATCTTTTGGTATCGGTTCAGACCTGATTTGCGACCCAGTATGTGGTCTATTCTGGAGAAAGTTCCATGGGCACTTGAGAAGAATGTGTATTCAGTTGAGTTTGGATGTAAAGTTCTGCAGATATCTGTGAAATCCATCTTGTCCAGTGTATCATTTAAAGCTCTCGTTTCTTTGGAGATGTTGTGCTTAGAAGACCTATCGAGTATAGAAAGAGCTAGATTGAAGTCACCAAGTATAAGTGTATTATTATCGAAGTATTTCTTCACTTTGGTTATTAATTGATTTAAATATTTGGCAGCTCCCACATTCGGGGCATATATGTTGAGGATTGTTAAGTCCTCTTGTTGGATAGATCCTTTAAGTATGATATAGTGTCCCTCTTCATCTCTCACTCCAGTCTTCGGGGTAAATTTTAGTTTATCTGATATAATGATGGCTACCCCTGCTTTCTTTTGAGGACCATTTGAATGGTAAGTGGTTCTCCAACCTTTTATTTTCAGGCTGTAGGTGTCCTTCTGTCTAAAATGAGTCTCTTGTAGACAGCAAATAGATGGGTCCTGCTTTTTTATCCAGTCTGAAACCCTGCACCTTTTGATGGGGTCATTAAGCCCATTCACGTTCAGAGTTACTATTGACAGATATGAGTTTAGTGTCATCATGATATCTATTTAGTCCTTGTTTTTGTGGATTGTTCCACTGGACTTCTTCTTAAAGGGGAATTTTAAGAGTCCCCCTTAAAATTTCTTGCAGAGCTGGTTTGGAGGTCACATATTCTTTCAGTTCCGACCTGTCTTGGAAGCTCTTTCTCTCTCCTTCCATTTTGAATGAGAGCCTTGCTGGATAAAATATTCTTGGTTGCATGTTCTTCTCATTTAGGACCCTGAAAATCCTGCCAGCCCTTTCTGGCCTGCCAGGTCTCTGTGGAGAGGTCTGCTGTTACCCTAATACTCCTCCCCATAAAAGTCAGGGATTTCTTGTCTCTTGCTGCTTTGAGGATCTTCTCTTTATCTTTGGAATTTGCAAGCTTCACTATTAAATGTCGAGGTGTTGAACGGTTTTTATTGATTTTAGGGGGGATCTCTCTATCTCCTGGATCTGAATGCCTGTTTCCCTTCCCAGATTAGGAAAGTTTTCAGCTATGATTTGTTCAAATACAGATTCTGGCCCTCTGTCCCTTATGCACCCTCGGGAACCCCAGTTAAATGTAGGTTTTTCTTCCTCAGGCTGTCACTTATTTCCCTTAATCTATCCTCATGGTATTTTAATTGTTTGTCTCTTTTTTCCTCAGTTTCCCTCTTTGCCATCAACTTGTCTTCTATGTCACTCACTCGTTCTTCCACCTTGTTAACCCTCATCGTTAGGACCTCTAGTTTGGATTGCATCTCATTCAATTGATTTTTAATTTCTGCCCAATTAGATCTAAATTCTGCAGTCACGAAGTCTCTTGAGTCCTTTTTCTAGAGCCACCAGTAGCTTTATAATAGTGCTTCTGAATTGGCTTTCTGACATTGAATTGTAATCCAAATTTTGTAACTCTGTGGGAGAGAGGGCTGTTTCTGATTCTTTCTTTTGAGGTGAGGTTTTCCTTCTAGTCATTTTGCTCAGTGCAGAGTGGCCAAAAACAAGTTGTATTGGGAAAAGGAGAAAACGAGTGAGAGAGAAAGAAGGAAAGAAAAGACAAAAAGAGAAAAGAAAAAAGGAAGAAAAAAAGAGAAGAAAAAGAGAAAAAAGGGTGGGGGAAGCAAACAGAAAGCAGAAAGCAAAAAACAAACAAAGAAACAAAAAAAACCACGGCAAGTATCTTCTGATTCTGTAGACTTTAAGTCCCTTGACTTCCCCTGGAACTTGTCCGTCTAGTGGTCTTCTAGGGGAGGGGCCTGTTGTGCTGATTTTCAGGTGTTAGCACTTGTGGGAGCTGCTCTGACCCCTGCCTGGTGCAGGGCTCAGTGGGGGTTGTTTACCCCGTGAGGCCCCAGGAGGAACAACCCCAGTGGCGGGGCCAGCTCTGGAGCCCTGGAGTCAGCTCCCGCAGTAACTAGGAGCTCTACGTCTGCAGGGGCCTGGATGCTCCGGGGCGGGGCCGCTGATCTGCTCAGCTGGGGCAGGAGCGTCCTTGCTGTCCTGGTCACTCCCGGCCTCTGCCTGTCCCGGGGGAGGCCGGATCCTGGGCTGTGTCCCGGCGCCCTGTGCTCCGGGGCCTGCGCTGTTGGATTCGCCCTCCGGCCGCACAGCCCCCTCCGCGGAGCCGCCGCCCGAGCCCCTCCAAGCTGCTCCGGGCCCCGCCGTGCGCGCTGCAGCCCTTAGGGAGCTCGGAGCACTCCCCCGGGGCGCAGGTGTCTGTTAGTGCCCCTGGGAACCTCAGGGCATCCCCGCCCTCCTGGGTCCTGCTCTAACTCCCTGCGGGCCCCTTTCCGCCCGCCCGGGAAGGTTGGTGCAGCTCCTGCTCCTCCGGGACGGGGCTCTCCTGTCCTGGGGACACTCGCCCCGGCCTCAGCCCGGCTCCTCGCGGGGCCCCTCCCCCTTGGAGGCCTTTTGTTTCTTTATTTTTCCCCCGTCTTCCTACCTTGATAGAAGCGCGAACTCTTCTCACTGTAGCCTTCCAGCTGGTCTCTCTTTACATCTCACGCCGAATTCGTAGATTTTCAGGATGATTTGAAGTTTATCTAGGTAATTCGGTGGGGACGGGTGGCTTGGGGACCCTACTCTTCCGCCATCTTGCCCCTCCTCTGCTTCTCTTATTTTAATAATTTGTAGATTATACATCTACATTTACATCTGCATTTGTGAGAGATGGGCCTATAATTTTCCTTTTCTATTTATTCTTGCCTGGTTTTGATATCAAAATTCTCTCTGCATCATATAATGAGTTGTGGTCATCCTTTTTCTATTCTCTGAAAGATTGCCTGAGATTATATTTCTCTTTTCTTTTTAAGATAAATTTGCTGACAGAGATTTGCTTATAAACCACTTTAGTGCTTGTGTAGTTTGTTTCATTTTTGTAGATAGATTTTAAACTACCAACTACTTTTTAAAAATAGCTTTACCTCTCTAGTTAGATTTTCTATTTCCTCTTGAGTCAGTTCTGGTAGGTTTCATTCTCTTATTTTTTAAAAAGTCTACTATATATGTAGTGATTTTCCCTTTTAATCTGTCAATTTTATTAGTCTTTCAAAGCACTAGCTTTCGTTTTAAAAAGATTTACTTATTTATTTTAGAGAGAGAGAGCATAAGTATTGGGGAGAGGGGCAGAGAGAGAAGGAGAGATCTCAAGCAAACTCCACACTGACCAAGGAGACCATGCAGGGCTTGATCTTGTGACCCTGAGATCATGACCTGAGCCAAAATCAAGAGTCAGATGCTTACATGACTTCACCACACAGATGCCCTTCAAAGTACTAGCTTTGTATTTTATTGATCATTTCCACTGTAACTTTGTTTTCTATTTAATTAATTTCTCCTCTGTGTTTTTTTTCTACTTTCTTGGTGTGTATGCTGTTGTTCCTTTTACCAGTGTCTTGAGTTGAAATACATGGCTCATTAATTAAGTAGCCTTTTTTCTTTTATAAATAAGTAAGCATCTTAAAGCTTTTGTAAGTTTCTCTCTGTAATTTCTCTGTAGCTTTTGCTGAATCAAACAAGTTTTAAATTATATTTTATTTAGCTTGTATACTCCCTAATCTTATATATAAGATTATGTAGGTATTTATTTCTTTGAACCATTAGTTATTCCTAATGTTCTTTAAAAACATTTTAAATTTCCTAATTTATGGAAATCAAAGTAAGGGTTTTTTTTAAGAGTAAGTTTCCTTATAATTCAGAGGATGTGATCTATATGACACTAATTTGTTGTCTTCTGTGCTGAGATGGATGGGTTTTGCCATCCTAATACAAAGCTTCTATCACATACCTTCTTTGTCTTTCTGTTTCCAGGAAGACCGTTTGCTTAGAGTGGCTGTGGTACAACCCACCATTGAAACATGTCATGCTTTGCATAAGAAGGAATCAACAGCTCAGACTGAATAATCATGAGATTTGTCATGAAATCCATGAAACATTCCTGTCTCTAGTCTCGTCAGTTTCTTCCTCTCACATAGAGTTCATAGTCCTGTCCTGGAAATGCTCATCAGAGGCCTGGACCTCAAGGACTGCTTCCAACATTAAGCCTTTAGGAAATATTTGTTGAAGTAAAAAATGCATAATTAAAAAGGAATGAATACTCTCAGCATGCTGATCTTGCAAGCCCTGAACTAGCAATGGATAGTAAATGTCACAAATGGCAATTCAATACTCTTCCTAAAGCTATCAGAATGAGGACCCAAGCAGCTTTTGGTGCCGGCCAAAAGCTGCACAGGCTTGGAGGGCGGGGACAACTTAAGGAAAATTAATTTCTAAACAACAACTTTCTGGAAGTCTCTAAAACATATATATTCGTGAATCTTCCGGCGGCCCTGTCCATGTGATTTTTTCCATTGTTCACAACGTAGGCAGCGGCCCTCTGCTCAGGACAGCCACAACTGCACACTGGATACCGTCCACAAAGCAAACCCACATCATTGAGCCAACAGCACATGGGTATCGGGGACCAGGAGATAGCCCTTTAGGGCAGAGGATTTGCACTCTATTTTGCAGGTAGCGTCTGGCTGTCCCTTCCACCTTGCACTGGCCGAGTCCACATGCTTTGGGTGCGGTTGCTCGTAAATATTCCCAAAGAGCAATGCCGATTCTTTTGGACGCCTGACCACGCCGGCTCAGTTGCAGGAGAACCATGGTGCGCACGCAGGCCTGTCAATGAAGTCGTAATCAAAGCACGGTTTCCTTCCTGTTGTTGCTTTTGGAAGAGCCTCACTCCCCCGGGGCCAAGCTTCGACCACGGCACCTCAGCCGAATTTTTCCACAGCCACTTTGGATTCCTGCCCCACCCCTCCCATCTGCACCCCCATTTCCTCCCTTCTCTGTTTTGGCTCCATGTGGTTCTTGGTGAAGCGGCTGAGAAATAACAAACCCAAAATTCCTTGAGTGACGAATGAGTCACCGGGCTGCAACAGCAGCAGAGCTCTGCGGATCAGCGGGCCTGTGAGGGGATAAACAGCAGAGGATGAAGACAGAGGGAGGAGAATAGAAACAGAATGAACTGAGCGGGCTGACAGCGGGGCGACAGCAGCTGAGGGGGTGGGGGGGGCGGGGTTGGGTTGGCCTGCCAGGTGAGCTCAGCTCTGGGCCCACACCCCGGGACTCAGGCTGGGGCAAGCCCCCAGGAGCTGCTAGCCCTGGGCTGTGTCTACCGCTCAGCTGGATAAGCCACCTGACTGCTCTCTGCTTCTGTTTACAAGGCCTGGGTCCTCGGGTTGCAATTCTCTGTTCAGGTTCATGCAAAGCTGCTAATCCGGGACCATGATATTACCCCAGGGCTGGTCCCTTTCTGGTCATGTGGTACCTGGGTGACAAGCGTCAGGGCATGAGCCAAATGATTTCTTTGTACTTTTTGGTTTGCAGGGATTTTTTAGAATGCATCCATTTCCTAAGACCTGATCTCTAAGCACAATAGTGGAGCTGGATGCCAGCCGAAGAGCTAGGGGTGGTGGTGGTGAGGGGGGAGTGCTGAACACCAGGGGCAGCTAAAGCAGTGCTTCTCCCCCTCCCCCCCCCCATCCAGAAATGCGCCTGGTGCCCTGTCAGGATGGGCTTGGCTGGGAGGCCACTGGGTGTATGTCCTGGTTAGGACATGACTCCTACTTTTTATGCTTTTTCTAAGTGATCAAAGAGTACAGTAGGCTGAGCCCTTGAAACACACACGTCTGATGGTCTGATTCCATGAGGCCCTGCCAGACTGGCCCACGGTCCTTCTTGAAGACTCTGGAACCATCAGGAGAAACCAGAAGGAAGAACCACGTGCGCAAGGAACTGCTGATGTGGTGTGGCCACCAGGAGGATCTTTCAGAAAAAGGAAAAAAAAAATGCATAAGCTTTCCCCTGAGCTAGGCTGCCTCAGATCATAGGGATGACAAGATTCGCTCACAAGCTGTCTGGCTCTCATTTTAGGACAAAACCAGGAAGTTTGGAGACGAGTTTAAAAACAGAGGAAAACAAAATAAGTTGATTTGGGTTCTTCTGTGCGCAGCCAAGTTCTGCTCCAGTGGCCCCTGCTGGGGGCGGCCTTAGCCTTGGGTTTCATCCGCCTCCGCCCTCTCACCCTGCCCACAGTGGTGCACAACCAGATGCCAAGAGTGGAAAGAGCGAAGCTTGATCTCAGATAGGAAGAGGAAGAGACTTGAGGCTAATGAGGCTGGGCAGCTAGATAGAAAACCATGACGGACCTTGTGAGGGAAGACCAGACTCAGGACATAATCAGGGCAAACTTTCTGATCCCCATTCAATTCCTAAAAAGTGCCGCCTTTGCTCACTTTGACCTTCACTCAGCTGGGCCATCCGGTGAATTACTGAACAGCCTTCTTGGAAGTGATGCACACAAGTGGCCTCCGGGAAGTCCATATTCTTGGCCTCAGAAGTCTTCATTTCAAAATGCTTTTTAAAGATGATATAAACAATGTATGCTTATTATAAAAATAAAAGTAGAAACAAAAAATTAGCCAAAGTTCCAACACTCAAATGTTAAAGTGTTTCCTTCCAGTCTTTTTATAGGCAAAGATTTATTCTTTTAACACAGTTGTGCTCATTCCATATATAGAATTTTGTACACTGCTTTTTGCTAAATATATGTTTTTGCTTGCTATCATATGGAAAATTGGGTTACTATTAATTATTATAAGAACTCTGTTATTTAAATTATTAATTATGGTTATATAAAATTCAATTTGTGTGTGTGTATATATATATATAAATATATATATATATTTATATATGGTTAATTTAATCTATAGAGTTAATCACCCCTTCTGTTTTGGACATTATATTTGTTTCCTGTTATTAAAATTCTAAGTCTTTTTTAAATTAATGTACACAATTTGGAGATTTTCCCATGAGCCCATCACTTAGCCTACCAGTATCTGGATCCAGTATCTGGATTTTCCCATGAGCCATCACTTAGCCTACCAGTATCTGGATCTCTCGCCTGAGAGTTTGGGGAGGCAGCTGTAGGAGAAGACAACTGGAGGAAGCTGCTTGTCCCAGACTCCATGGGAGATCTAGCCCCTCTTAAGCTGTAAGACTCATGGATTTCTGGTGCAGGGGTCTTGAAGGATGTAGAAATTACTTAAGGCAATGTCACTAGCATCTAGCTGTGTATTTCCCTGCCAAATGTGGCCACAGGTTCCATCTCCACCTCCATGTTTTCCAGCATCCTGGAGATAATAGAAAATACTTTTAGTAAGTAGAAAGAACAGTAAAATGAAGTACTGGTCTACACTTAGTGTGACAAAGCTAAGGATATCATTTAAAAACTTGAAGTGTGGGATGCCTGGGTGGCTCAGTGGTTGAGTGTCTGCCTTCAGCTTAGGACGTGTTCCCGGGGTCCTGGGACCAAGTCCCATATCAGGCTACCTGCATGGAGCCTGTTTCTCCCTCTGTCTACGTCTCTGCCTCTCTCTCTCTGTGTCTCTCATGATTAAATAGATAAAATATTTTAAAAATAAATAAAATAAATAAAAACATGAAGTGTCTGTTTCTTACTCTGATTTCTTACTGGAGCATTCTGATTTCTTTTAGGCTTTCCTGGTTGGGCCACTTGTTGGAGGGGTATGGCTTGTGCAACAGAATTAGGGCAGCAGAAGCAGAAAGTGTTGGCACACTCAGGATGGGCAGACTCAGCCACAGGCATAATTTATCACTTACCAAATAGCTCACAGTTGTGTATGGTTGTCATTAAGTATTTCATGTGGATGCTGTATTCTCTCAAAGGCAAGACCTGTGTCACATGGAATATAGTTCCCACATATCATGGAGGAGAATGTGCCACATACCAAGCACTTCTTAGTGATTATTTCATTTAAGAATGTGAGTAATCCTGAGTTAAGTGCTATTTTCTCCATTTTGCATGAGGTAATTAAGCCACAGGAAAGTGAAATAATCCTCCCAAGGGGAAATGGCTGATAAATGTTTGAGCCAAGATTAGAACACAGAGCTAACTTCACAGCCTATGGTCTTTGCACTATATCATGCCACCTCTCTTGTTAAACCTAATAGACATAAAATATTAATTAATACTCATTGATTAAAGATGGGGCTTTCAAAAAAAAAAAGATGGGGCTTTCTCTGGGTTCCAGAAGTCATCATTATGGACAGGTAGGATCCTTTGTAGCATTTTCTTAAGCCCCTAAGGACAACCTATGAAGACAAGGGTTCAGACAAATCAATTGTAGATAAGGAGCTCTTCCATAAGGTGGTTTTTATTTTATTTTTTAAAGATTTTATCTATTTATTTGAGAGAGAGAGATAGAGAGAGCATGAGTGGGAGGGAGGGGCAGAGGGAGAGGGAGAAGCAAACTCCCGCTAAGCAGGGAGCCCAACATGGGGCTCCATTCCAGGACCCAGGGTCATGACCTGAGCCAAAGTCAGGTCCAGTCTTATCCAACTGAGCTGCCCAGGCATCCCCATAAGGTGGTTTTAATGACTGTGGAGGCTCTGACAACAGGAGCCTATGAGGAGCTTCCACCTCCCATTTTCTGCAAGGCCAGTGCTTGAGACATATTACAGTTGATAGAAATGAAAATAATTGGTTTACTGTGCTTTTTAATACCTGTAATACAGAATGATTAGATCATAAGGGTTTTCCCACTAGACTCGAATTTTCTGAAGTCAAGAACCATGTCTGTGTTCTTCATTGCTATATTCTCTCTCCTAATACAGTGCTTCATCCATAGCAGATGCTCTATAAAATTTGTTAAATGGATGAATGAAATATATGAATGAAAATAACATCTCCCCAAGTCTGTGCCAAAGGTGCTGACTGGAGTTAAGGATGTTTCATGATCAACTCCCCAGGTATAAATGTGTTTCTCAGGGTTTATAGTCTGAATTGAGGTGGCCCAAAGCAGGATTGGTCAGGAAGCATGTACAATCAGCTTCCATTTTAACAATATTCATTTAAAATATTCATAATAATTCTTGTTGGGAAGCATGTCGCCATCTGACCTGGGAAGTTAAGAGTTTCCTTTTTCCCCCTGTTCTTGCAGCATGGAGTGAAATATACAGTCTCTTTCTCTCTTGTCCCTGATTCCTCAATCAAACTAGATTTATGCTAGACTTAGGAAGAGAATCTCTCCTGCAGAGAGTGCTTATAGCATCTGGCTTATTCTCCAAAGGGAAAATTTGGGCTAAAAGTATACATTAAGCACCATCATTAAGCAATTAATATTGTGCCCAAGAAACAAAAAGCAAGAGCATTACAAGTGGATTTTGTCATAATCCTACATCTCCCAAATGTGTAAACTCCAGGAAAGTCCAGATCCCCAGCAGGAACCCATCTGCTGTATTTCTGGTGTGATACTCCTCTGTTTATATTTGCTCATTTCTCTCACAGAGTGCCAGGAAAGAAAAAGTGATATTTAAAAAATTCATCTGCTAGTATTTATGCAAACACATTTCTCTCCAAGTGTGGGTTGAGCAACGTAAGTGAAGCAGACACAAATGCCTCCAAGGGACTACAATGTCACTTTAATAAAGAGAAACGAAGAATATACATGCCTGGGAGAGTGAAAGATCAGAAGACAGCAACTGTCCTCTGATCAGCCACACTCAATAGAGAGAAGATGTAGGTCGTGAGCCCCAGATTTGAAGGCTCATTTGAATCTGTCAATGGATCTATGGAGCTTCTCCTCTGAGCTGGCCAGTTAGGAGATTCTAAAAGCTTAAGATTCCTGGTTGAGGATGTAACAGTAAACAATTATAAGAGAACATGTCACTGACATAAGGAAGAAGGAGAAGAAACTTCAATTGAGCCTCAGTTATGTGCCAAACTTTTTGCTAAGTGTTTCTTGCACATTATTTTATTGAATTCCGACAGCTTTTCTATGATACGATAATCTTTGGTTTTCAGAACCAGTATCACAGTGGCCAAATAATCTGCCCCACATCGTGTAACTTAGGCTATTTTAAAAATTCATGCTCTTTCTCTTGCATCATACATAAGCTTCTAAGGCAGGGTGCCTGGGTGACTCAGTCGGTTAAACGTCTGCCTTCAGCTTCAGGGCAAGATCCCAGAGGACTGAGCTCCGTATCAGGCTCCTTGCTCCACAGGGAGCCGGCTTTTCTCTCTCCCTCTGCTGCCACTCCTCCAGCTTGTGCTATCTTTCTCTCTCTGTCAAATAGATTAAATCTTTAAAAAAATTTTAAAAAGAAGCTTCTAAGGTTTAAATCTAATGTTATGTGTGTTTGTGATATAATACCTATCATTTAGGGGCATCTGTGTAGCTCAGTCAGTTGAGGGTCTGACTGGCTCAGGTCATGACCCCAGGGTCTTGGGATCAAGCCCCGCATCTGTCTCCCTGCTTGGTGGGGAGCCTGCTTCTCCCTCTCCCTCTGCTCTCCACTCCCAACCCCTGCTCATGTGCACTTGCGCTCTCTCTCTCTCTCTCTCACTCAAATAAATAAAATCTTTAAAAAAAATAGCATTTGTGGAGTGCTTACTATGAGGTAGGCAAAACTTATTCTTTGTTATATGTTAACTTTGTAACCATCCTACGAGGTGGATACTATTATCTATCCCTCATTTTAAGGATGATGAAACTGAGTCTCCAACAAATAAAGCTGTCCAAATTACAAGGAAATAGCAGAGCCAGTCTGGACTCAAGTCTGTGCATTTAAGCACTACCTACCCTTCGTCTTCTCAGAGGAGTCCTTATAAGCACATTCTAAATCCCACTCTGCCCTTCAACCACTCCAAGCCAACACTGATATACTACAAACAATATTCAGCAAACATAGCATTTCAATTCCTCTTTTAAATCCCTCTTACAGCTCACATCCCAGGCATCGTCTCCAGGCAGGTCAGGACTGTTAGTCAGGACAAGTTTGAAAAACAACCTGGGTAAATCTACATTCTTCAGAAGTTCAAGAACCAAGCACTCTGATTTCAGAGTTTCTCCCTTAGTACAAAGAGAGATTCCTCTGTTTGATGGAGGCTGGTAGGCCTCCTCTTCCAGCCACATGCCAAGCCTGGCGTCCCCTTGCCTTCTTCTGGCCTCTCCTATCCAGGTCTCTGCCTGAAGGACAATGAAATAAATTAGAATTGGGGTGCCTGGGTGGCTCAGTGGTTGAGTGTTTGCCTTTGGCTCAGGTAGTGATCCTGGGGTCCTGGGATTAAGTCCTGCATCGGGCTCCCCCAGGGGAGCCTGCTTCTCCCTCTGCCTGTGTCTCTGCCTCTCTTTCTGTGTGTGTCTCTCAAGAATAAATAAATAAAATCTTAAAAAAAAGAAAAATAAAGAAATAAATTAGAAGAACCAAAGCAGGAGAGCTCTTTCCCATTCCCTGTGAAATCCCTTCTTAGGGCACCACATTTAAATGAGCATAGCAGTGATGAGAAGGAGTCAGGGGCCTGGTCTCAGAAGCACAAAAACTACTTATAGAAAAGCAAAGCACAAGACAAGACAGGAAGAAACTGAAAGATTGAGCCTTAACTCAAAGGCACAGAGTTAAGCCTAAAGAAACTGCTTAAATCACTGAATGACTACATTTTAAAATCTATTGAACTAAAATTAGTTTTTTCCCTCTTGCTACCCAGCAGGTGCAGGCTTATAAGGGATACCAGAGTGATTCAGAGAGAAAAGAAATTATGTGTTCTTTACATATCTGAGTGGAGTGAGTAATTGTGAATCCTGGTTTACACATGAAAGGGTAAGCAGATGTGAATTTCAGTGTCAAAATCAGAAGCAGAGGCGCCTATGGCTTCACTCCCTCCCTCCTCCATAGTGGAGGGGGGGTGGGATCCCCAAGATTTTTCTTTAAGACCTGACCTCTTCCCAGTGAGGTCCACGTACTTATATTTAGACAATAAAAGAACACAGTCAATGGGGTGTCGGCTGGCTCAGTCAGTAGAGCATTCTACTCTTGATCTCAGGGCCATGGGTTCCACCCTGCTCTGGGTTGAAATTACTAGAAAGAAAAACAAACAAACAAAAAAGAACACATTCACTGACCTCAACCACTGTGCTTAGTGTAGGTAAACTGCCTGTCTGTCTCCGGTGAGGTCAGCGATGATGGTGGCATCCTCCGGGACCAAGGGGTAACATTGCAGCCACTTTCAATTGCCCATCGGTGACCAGGCATTGATGACCACAGAGTGGTAACCCACAGCTGAGAATGAAGACCCAAGCTGCCAAGCGCACCTCATTCCCATCAAAAGAGGAAGGAGCTGAAGACCCTGTGAGGAGAAGGAAAAAAGAGGAACAAAACTGTCATGAGAGAACAAGGAGCTCATCTCAGGAGGCCTCTAGAGGGTTGACATGTCTGTGGGTAAAAAGGGACCTGGTGATCTGTGTAACAGGTTACTGTCACTCTACACATGGAAAATGAGAAGAATCTTCTCCAAGTACAGAAATGACCATTCCTATCTCTGTACATCTTCCCTGATGACAGGCAGCAAAAACTGTAGCTGATAGGTGTACAGGTTGGGAAGTTCAAATCCCAGTTTTGTCACTTCCCACCTGTGTGTGTGACCTTGGACAAGTTACTTCACCTGTCTTAAAATCTCCCATGTGTACTTTCATCTGTAAAATGGAGACATGAGTAATACCTTCCTCATAGGACTGTCCGAGGGGTAAAGAACACATGTAAAGCCTAAAGAACAGTTCCTGGCACAGAATGGGCCCTCAATCAACTTGACTATGATTACTTTTATGACAAGTGTGAAAGCAGTACGGTTTGAAAGTTCTTTTCATGTAAGGTATCCCTAAATTTATTGACAAGTGATTTAGGGTAAACCCTAACAGGATTTTTCAACACACAAATTCTAGACCATCTCCATCTGCAGGTCAATGAACTTTGCAGGGACCTGCACCCCACACCCTGGAAAAAAAAAAAAAAAAGATGTTCACTCAGATCTTTCAGTCAAAGAGGGTTTCAAAATGAGTTTGACATCCTGATCCTTCATGTCATTGGACATTCTGATAACCACATTGTGTAAGGAGAGAGTACTGGACTACTGTACTTTTCCTGCTGAAGGCTGAGCTCAGGATCAGGCCAGTCTTCATTCAAAATGGGCACGTCAGCAAGACAACAATACTCAGGGAAGGACTATGCAGACAGGAAGCCCTGGGCTTTAAAGTTTGGTCTCTTGGCTTCCTAACTACCAGAGTCTAAGGGAGTTGTCTTTAAAAATATGAGGGTAAAGTTTGCAGATGGCGTAACTGGGTAACAGGCATTAAAGAGGGCACTTGATAGAATGAGCGCTGAGTGTTACACGCAACTGATGAGCTGCTAAATTCTACCTCTGAAACTAGTAATACACTGTTACTTAAATTAAATATGTTAATTAAATTGAATTTAACTAACTTTTTTTAAAATATGAGAATAATAAAACCTACATAGTAGTATATCGTGAGGGAGAATTAAATTTATATAAAGTAACCAGCAGAGAGCTGGCACTCAATAAATGTTGGTTCCTACTTCCTCTTCCCCCATTTCCTGCTGAGATATAGAGTCAGCCCACTCTGTGGGGAAGGGGTGCAGTCATCAAATAATGTGTCACTTAAAAAAAATGTGTCAGTTTACTTTGCTCCTACTTTTCTGAGGCAAGAGATCACGGCCTGTGGAGGGAGAGAATCTGTGATTTGTTTGTTGAAAAATGTTGTTAGTTTGCCCTCAATCACTTGTCAATAAATTCAGGGTTACTTTAAATTAGAAGAACCTTCAAAATCATACTACTTTTACCCTTGTCATGAGGATGGGAGGAAATAAGCACTCATTGTTCTAATCTTTTCCACCAGGGAAGAATTGTCCATCTTTCTCTTCCAGTACTTAAAAAAAAAAAAAAATCAAAGTCCAACTGATACTTAATTTGTCTACCTACTCTAAGGTCATTGTGATTAACCTAGGCAGAAGTGTCCTGTCCATCTCTTTTGAAGATGAAAACAAACTGGGCTTCAAGAAAATCTACCCCAATATGGCCCCTCCCAAAGTCTGCAAGATGTGTACAACACCCAAGGGGGACAAGTGAGGCCGGGGGTCAGGCTCTATGCTTCATTACCAAGGGAGGAGGTCATACAAGTCCTGCTAGTTTCTTACCAGAGTTTAAAAGACAAAGCTGAGTCTGCAACTAGTCCCCTCCAGCTATATTAACTCACAATCACAGAGCCCTTCTTCCCAACTCAGATCCATTCAAGCACCCAACCACCAAACTCACCGAGGTTTCACCCTGCTTTCCCACAAGCTGCATTTTCTTTAACCACCAGAGAACTTTTCTGAGGTGGAATAGAAGCCAAGAACCTGGGGCCCCTTGGATGGGAGTCACCTTCGCTTTGGACACACACAGAAGCTGACTTGGAAAGTAGGCTGCTGAGTCTAGAAGCCACTTCCAAGGGAGGGCAGAGGTACCCCAATGATTCCTGGAATACCACTGATTTAGCCTAGGACCTTGGAGCCTTCCATGTCTGTTTCCCAGCACATGGGAATGGTAATGAAAGCAAAGGGAAATTGCTACCTACCACCCCACCCGTCATCACTCTAAGTGTGAATGACTCGACTTCAGAATTCTGTGGAGAGTATTCATGAGTGTTTACCAGGTATCCTGAGATAGAAGATGCCAGAATTGCCGTGCAGGGTTGAGGCAAGCAGTAAGATGTCAGCTGGCGTGCAGTGAGGATTTGACAGACTGTTTCTTTAGCTTGTCAAATGAACTTTAATTTTTGTCAGGGTAAAACATTTTAGATGACAATTATTCTTACTGTTTTCCTTTGTGAACTACCTCAAGCTCACTACTTCCAAGTTTCACATGTGAACAGTTGTGTTGGAATACAAAACCTGCTCCTCCCAACTGAACTGTGCAGGGACTGCCATTTTAAAAAAAATAGTGAGGGGCCCCTGAGTGGCTCAGTGGTTGAGTGTCTGCCTCAGGCTCAGGTTGTGATCCTGGGGTCCAGGGATCAAGTCCCACATCCGGCTCCCTGCCTGGAGCCTGCTTCTCTCTCTGCCTGTGTCTCTGCCTCTCTGTGTGTGTGTCTCTCATGAATAAATAAAGTCTTTTAAAATAATAATAAAATAATTTAGAGAATAGTGAATATCTTCTCCATTCTTCTTCATACCATGCCCACTAAGGGTCTAGCTTCTCTCTTTTCCTTCCTTCTCATTTTAACAAAACAAGTAAAACTTGCAAGGGTTGAGGTACTCTTCAGCTTTTGATCCCGTTCAGCTTTGGCCCTGCACATTGCCTTTGCTTTTTTCAGATGAGCTTTATTTCACACTCAAGTTGGAAATAATGGAGATGTTCATTCAACCCGGGGCCACTGTGTTGCCTCTGAGCTCAAACTTTAAGAGCACAAAGGGAAATATGGCGACGATCATTGGCAGTCGACCATCCCAAGCATTAGATATGAGTATGAGGGGGCAAAGCATGCTAGTGGAGGCCTCGGCTGCTCTGCTCACAAGAGCAGTGTGACGAGGAGGAAGTGGGAAGAGGCCCGGTGGCTGCGGTGGAGACATTCAGCAGAGTCAGCACCTAAAGACCAGTGAAGACAGCAGAGGAGAGTGTGCCTGGTGCCCCACAGTGAGACTGCCCTGAGTGTTGGCATCGGGGGCTGGGGAGCCTGACTTCTGTACCCTGTCTGCGCTCCTAGAGGCTGCCACTGACAAAGACATCCTCTGAAGTCAGAAGGCTGACTCTCATGGGCTGAAAGTCTCTTCCTCATTCTTGTTCCCGCATCCTCCCTCAGCACTGTGCTTGGATCCATAGTCGTCTTCAGGGTCCCTGGTACAGGCTGGTTCCACTTGAAATCAGTGGCCAAGGTGGTCATGTTTGAGTGTCTACCCTTAAAAAATGAAAGCAAGATCATCAAAACAAAAAAGGAGTCACCGCTCCTGACATAATTTTGATTTTTTGACTTGTTTCAAAGGCCACAGTTCCTACCTACTTCTCATCTTGGCACTGTTACTTGCTGTCTTCAGGGCCCTTTCCATCTTCCTCCTTTTGAGCCAACCCATTGATGACCATTCCACAAAATGGTTGAGCAGTGAATTCCTTCCCTGCCTTATAAATTTAGCCTTAAAACAGGTTCAGTTACAACAATCCCAGGCCCGATGTCAAAGGGGATAAGCAATGTACTTTGAGACATCCAGGCCTGTCACCTCTCAGGCCTGGGCACCCGAACAGACCTCGGTCCATGTTTATCTCATTCTGTGATTCATCAGCCTCTCTGACTTTGGTTTCCACACCGTGATATTGCCTTGGGGTTGTTTGTGAGACAAAGACCTCCTGATAGAGTTCAAGTTGGTAGTGATAATACTCCATTAGACCTCAGACAGAAGGCTGCCACGGTGTAACACCTACTGGTAAACAGCAACCACAGGACTGACGTGATTTCCAAGATTCGGGATTTACTGAGTGGTCCTCACAGCTAGCAGCCTACAGGGGAAGGGGATACCCCCAAACAAGCCTGTCCTGTGAAGTGTTGGGCACGGTTGGTCTACAGAGGATGATGCTTTGCATCGTTTTGTAGTGTTGCCATCATTTTGGCAGAAGAAAAACCCCCAAGGGCCAATTTACCCAACCAGCCACGACTTAGCAATACAAAAACAAACTGAAGTTTATTTATTGAGAAGAAAATCAAAGTTTTGGCAGAGGACAGGGACCATTTCTTTGGATCCCCAGGACCTTTTGGTCTCAAAATATATTTATTGAGCACAATTGATTATTCTGAGGGTTGATCATACAAAGATTTTCCAATTCTTTCTGTTTTGGCACTGTCCTTGGAGAGTAAATCTCTGTCCTAGAGTATAGCCAGGAAGTAGATCCAAGGCCGAAGAAATTCTCAATTTTTATAAAACATGAAAGGAGAAGGGGAAAAGCAATAGGAGCCTGAGCCTCCACAATGCTTAGAATTAATAGATTAGTTCGTTGATGATTTTTAAAGATGTTTCCCTCTAAAAATTGGTGGGGAAACAGTTGGGTCCAAGTGGTCACCAAGACGGCCAGAAACCCAAATACCATTACAGGCAAAACTCTTGGCATTAGAGCAAAGAAAATTGGGCCATAGGATTGGACCATGTGTTTCCGAGGTCATGTCAGCAGCCTCCTGGGCCACAGCATTTGCTTGCTCAGAATGCAGTTAGTTCAGGCAGGGCAGCTGAGGGCAGCAGGGCTCTGGGACAAAAGCCTGGGCTGCTGAGAGAAAATAAAAATAATCCCCATTAAGTTCCCATTATCTTAAA